GCTAGCACCTAGAAAAATGTGATTTTCCTGATCTTATTTTAAGGTGTTTTAATGGCCAAAAAAATGGACAACAGTAGCTTTAAAAGCATGAAGTACAGGTCCTTCTAAAAAAATTAGCATATTGTGATAAAGTTCATTATTTTCCATAATGTAATGATAAAAATTAAACTTTCATATATTTTAGATTCATTGCACACCAACTGAAATATTTCAGGTGTTTTATTGTTTTAATACTGATGATTTTGGTATACAGCTTATGAAAACCCAAAATTCCTAGCTCAAAAAATTAGCATATCATGAAAAGGTTATCTAAACAAGCTATTAAAGGATTAGTTCACTTTTGAAAAAACTTTTGCTGATAATTTACTCACCCCCATGTCATCCAAGATGTCCATGTCTTTCTTTCCTCAGTCGAAAAGAAATTTAGGTTTTTGATGAAAACATTCCAGGATTTTTCTCCATATAATGGACTTCAATGGGAACCGGATGGTTCAAGGTCCAAAAGACAGTGTTAATAACAGTTTCAGATGCAGCTTCAAATGTCTTTAAACGACACCAGACGATGAATAAGGGTCTTATCATGCGAAACGATCAGTTATTTCAAAACTTATTGCAAAAATGTAACTTTTCTAAGGACAAATGCTAGCCTTGCTATATTCTCTGAGGCGCGTTTGTAACGTCATGTAATACGTAATTACGTTCAAAAGGTCACGGGCGATGTAGCCGGAAGTACAGAATCAAAATCGTCCGACATCGTTGTTTTTCCTTTTAATTCCTTTTTTTGTAAACGGTGTTTGAGCTAGTTTGCACGTTCAACCTATGCGTTCAACTTGTAAACACTGACTCTGTACTTTCGGCTACGTCGCCCGTGACCTTTTGAACATAATTACGTATTACGTGACGTTGCAAACGCGCCTAACAGAATACAGCAAGGCTAGCATTTGTCCTTAGAAAAGTTACATTTTTGGAATAAGTTTTGAAATAACCGATTGTTTCGCATTATAAGACCCTTATTCATCGTCTGATGTCGTTTAAAGACATTTGAAGCTGCATCTGAAACAGTTATTAACTGTCTTTTGGACTTTGAACCATCCGGTTCCCATTGAAGTCCATTATATGGAGAAAAATCCTGGAATGTTTTCATCAAAAACCTCAATTTCTTTTCGACTGAGGAAAGAAAGACATGGACATCTTGGATGACATGGGGGTGAGTAAATTATCAGCAAAAGTTTTTTCAAAAGTGAACTAATCCTTTAACCTAATCATATGAATCAACTAATTAACTCGAAACACATCAAAAGATTCCTGAGGCTTTTAAAAACTCCCAACCTGTTTCATTACTCAAAACCGCAAACATGGGTAAGACTGCCGACCTGACTGCTGTCCAGAAGGCCATCATTGACACCTCAAGCAAGAGGGAAAGACACAGAAAGAAATTTCTGAACAAATAGGCTGTTCCCAGAGTGCCCTATCAAGGCACCTCAGTGGGAAGTCTGTGGGAAGGAGAAAGTGTGGCAAAAAACGCTGCACAACGAGAAGAGGTGACCGGACCCTGAGGAAGATTGTGGAGAAGGACCGATTCCAGACCTTGGGGGACCTGCGGAAGCAGTGGACTGAGTCTGGAGTAGAAACATCCAGAGCCACCGTGCACAGACGTGTGCAGGAAATGGGCTACAGGTGCCGCATTCCCCAGGTCAAGCCACTTTTGAACCAGAAACAGCGGCAGAAGCGCCTGACAAGAGAAGCAGCACTGGAATTCAGATTTCTTTTAATTCGGAAATCAAGGTGCCAGAGTCTGGAGGAAGACTCTGAGAGAAGGAAATGCCAAAATGCCTGAAGTCCAGTGTCAAGTACCTACAGTCAGTGATGGTCTGGGGTGCCATGTCAGCTGCTGGTGTTGGTCCACTGTGTTTTATCAAGGGCAGGGTCAATACAGCTAGCTATAAGGAGATTTTGGAGCACTTCATGCTTCCATCTGCTGAAAAGCTTTATGGAGATGAAGATTTCATTTTTCAGCACGACCTGGCACCTGCTCACAGTGCCAAAACCACTGGTAAATGGTTTACTGACCATGGTGTTACTGTGCTCAATTGGTCTGTCAACTCTCCTGACCTGAACCCCATAGAGAATCTGTGGGATATTGTGAAGAGAAAGTTGAGGGATGCAAGACCCAACACTCAGGATGAGCTTAAGGCCGCTATCGAAGCATCCTGGGCCTCCATAACACCTCAGCAGTGGCACAGGCTGATCGCCTCCATGCCACGCCACACTGAAGCAGTCATTTCTGCAAAAAGATTCCCGACCAATTGTTGAGTGCATAACTTTTTTTGTATTAAAAACACTTCTTTTATTGGTCGGATGAAATATGCTAATTTTTTGAGACAGGAATTTTGGGTTTTCATGATGTTTTATGGGTTTTCATAAAACACCTGAAATATTTCAGTTGGTGTGCAATGAATCAAGAGGGCACCAAATTCAAAACTCTTTTACGTTTCAACTACATATGATCCACTTTCAATAAAGTTTAATGTTGTAATGAGTGAAATGCTCCTTTAAGAGAAAATAAGGGTTGTAGTTAACATAACCTTCGGCCCTGCCCTATGTAGGCTAATTTTGCTCAAACCCTGATCAAACTTACCTACCTGTAACTGAAGACCATGGCTGCATCCGAAGACTTAAAATGTAGCCTTCTGATACATTCCAAGATAGGAAGGCATCAAGGCACACCCAAATCCAATGTTTGCTTCACTTCCCGTCTCCTGATATTCCTTCATCTGAACGCAGCAGATGCATCCTTCACTACCTTTGTTATCACAATCATGTGCTCCATTCTGTGGGGGTTAGGCTAAGAAAAAATAAGATGGTGTCTGAAAGTAGCGGTTGCCAGTCAGTTTGTGTGTGAATGTATGTTTCTGACCAACATTTTCCACTTCTGATGTAATTTCAAGTGTAGTAATTAAATATTTGCTTTGTTTTCACCAAAGCGCGCTCTATTTTGCTGTAGATCATTAAATCGTTACGCTGCCTCAGAATCAGAAGTCCGCTTCGTGAGGTGCCTTTGTGCGCGAACGCTGCCTACAACTACAAAGTCATTTTAGCAAGGCAATCATGCCTCATTTTTCAGACGCAGCCCTTGATTAGCATGTTCAGTTGTCTTTGATTAGGGTTGGAACTGAACTCTTGAAAAGTGTTTTTCCTTGAAAATGATATGCTCTAATACAGAAGGCAAATTTCTAAAGATTCCTTTAGAATTGAAAAATAAAACCACCATGCCATTTTGTGTTTAGTTTAATGAGTTCAGAGCAAGCTGACGTAATTTGTACTTCGTGCCTGAAACCTTGAATTGGTCTCAACATGTTAAGCACAACGCACAGTCTCTCTCTCTTCAATCGTCTCATTGCAGTTCAGCAGTGTCCCCTTCGGCTATACATAACACCTTGAACTGACACTGCCCTACATTGAGATGCTCAGTATATTATCAGATTCAATATTCCTTCATGTTCCTTTCTGTAGGCAGATGGAGCATCCATAAACAAACTGGAGGTCACAGTGATTCTGATCTCAAAATTAGAAAGGCAAAAAATAGCAAGCAGAGGAAATGATGCGTTACTACACAGAGGCGAGGATTATTTCACTGTCCTCCGAGACAGCAGTAGCATTATAAATGCTTTCACAATGACAGTATCAAATATATCCTTACATTATTTGTATATAATGGGTTCAAACTAAAGATGTCAAATTACATAAATTCCCATAATCGTTTGTCGTTAAATTAATAGATAACCTAAAACTCTTTAATCCTGCCTGTGGGTTTTGCGAATATTTAATGAGAAGTATTAAAAAAGATCCTCAAAACTGTCAGTCAAAAGTCATAACTCTGCACCATGTCTATTGTGACTGAAGTGCCACAAGCAGTTTGAAGTGTCTCTGTTTATTTACGATGCAAGGGTAAATAAATAACTGTTTATATATATATATATATATATATATATACTGTATATATGTGTGTGTGTGTGTGTGTGTGTGTGTGTGTGTATATACTGAATAAAACATTTTAAATATAAAGGTTGATTTTTTAAGTATTGAGGGGTGGAGAAGTCATAGCCAAAATAGCCACGCTTCATTATAATGTGAGATTTTGTCCATATGACATAATAAAAGAGCGTTCATATAGCTACAGCAACAATGCTCTTCAAAATTGTTCTTTTGCGCATCACAAAATGAGGCAAACCGGCATTTGAAAGTTTAACCCATGGAAACTCCAATGAATCTCTGGCATGGTGGGTGGGTATAGTGGGCTGTGTCCGAAATCGCTCCCTATACCCTTGAGGTTATAGGGGACAGCCATTTGTAGTGGTGTCTGAAACCATGGTGGACATTATCATCAGGGCCAGAGAATACCCATAATGCACTGTGAGGATTTCCAAACCGCTGGTCCAATGTGGGTACAGAGTAATATCATACAGGTAAATATCCTTTCTAATTGATTAATACATTCTTTAAATAAAAGAGGTATAACATGCTAGTCTCTATGAAGAGTTAAAGACAAATCTTTCCATTTAAAATGGAGCTGCAAGTTTAAAATTATTACTAACGGCAAGCACAAACTATGCAAAAGCGGCAGCCATTCTGGCACACTCATTGTTTGAATTCACTCACTTCTTCAAGTGGACTATATTAGTGGAGTAATATAGGGAAGAGTGAATGAGGATTTTGGGGCAATTTCAAACACCACTCTAGACTACACATTCTGACCAAAATAAAAGGCGGGAGTAGGTGGGGTGGGGGCAAAATTCCCCTAATTATGGCTGTTGGATCAATGTTTTTTTTTTACCTTCTGTTACGGATTTCAGTTTAATAATCAAGCACTTCATAAAGGTTTAGAAAATGTTTACAAAAATCATAAGGCATTGAATTGAAAGACAATAAATTCATCAACATTAAATAATAATAATGATAAAGGATACAGACATTTTAAATAACAAGACCTCACAAAGACATCTGAGAAATTGTCCATTTAATAAAACTGACAAAAATTATGTATGTCATTCCAGTGGCACATAATGGTAAATCTCATGAACTGGCTCAGGGAATGAGAGTGTTTACAGGACCCAAGCCTGCAATCCTTACATATATCTGTTTCTATGTAAAAAAATAAATAAATAAAAAATAACACACACACACGCGCACAAGAACTAAAAACCACCATCTAATGATTGAAATGAAAATGCGAAATCTGAGAAGTTTCCAATCACGGACAACCATTTCTCAACTCAGAGTGGAGGCAAGATGGTTAAAAATTTACATGCTAGGTTGCTTTTCTCTGAATATATGCAAAGGACATTTGTGCTATTTTGTATAACAAACAGAATTTATTTATTATCCTCATACTTGAATAAAATTACCATCGAAACACAGAGTTATGCTAATAAACTGCATGGCTCAGGTTTGCCATTTCCCGAATTTCAATTAGAAATGATCTTTGTTTAATCTGTTTTAGCATCATTTAAATCCATTTCCATGTGATGCAGAATGTCCTCAAAGCGAAGGACAGAATAAAACCTCACTTAGGAAAAAAAAAAAAAAAAAAACAATACAGATGCCTTGACAGGCCATTCAGAACACAGAGAAAGAACGCTTGTGGTTAGTTGTTGAATTTCTCATGTTCCCATTCATTGATCACAGCAGTGAAAAAAATACAAAAATAAACACAGTGAAACCTTTAACAAATCTGGGCCACAGTATGTATAGCTTTCAAGAGTCTTCAACAAATAATTGGCAGAGATAAAGTATGTGTTTCCATCCTCTCAATAATCCAGAGGCCAGCACAACACTTTACAGAAATGCAGATGAGACATTAGCCTGGTTAAAACCAGACCATTCTCAGTTGTAAACGATTTATGGTCTGGCAAAGCGTCATAGACAAATCATTTCCAGAGGGGCGTCACCAACGGACGTCGCGGGTAGACCAATCAGAGCGATGGAGGAGATAACGTATGCACAGCGGCGGCCGGCGGAGAAACATCTCCAAGTGTTGTTCTTTGCTCGATTTAACAAAAGGAAACGTTCAAATTGCTTAAATCAGACGCGATAGCTGATTCGAACGAGTGAAGTTTGACGGCATCCATCTTTGTAATGTAGGCTACAACATCTGCTTCAAAATCCCAGCGTAAAGCCCGCCCCAACGTTTCTAATTGGTGCCGTAATTTCGACGGAAAAGGGCTTGAGTGAGCTCTTTGCCAGACTAACTTTCAGACCAAATCTAAATTTGCCAGAAGTTGTCTGGGTTTTCCCAGGCTAATGAAACATATGAAGATGCGCAACATCATCTAAAAAAAAAAAAGAAAAAAGAAAAAAAGAAAGAAAACAAGAGAAACGGGCACTGTCATTCCCTAAAGCAGATATAGATGCTGTTTTACGCTCATTTGTTGAATGACAGGACAAGCATATCTAAACTGTTGTTTCTTTACATATCATATGAATAGTAATCTTTAGATCTTTAATATTGCATGTAGCCTAAGGCGTATGCAGTCATAAAAGGTTTGGAAGTACTTTTACTCCTTAGTGGACATTAGGCAAATGCTTTTAGCCAGTTACTTGGAATGTCTACTCAGTAACTTCGTTAATTGGCCTTTCCAAGATTTGAACCGAATTGATTTGTACTACTAGCCCACTATGCTGCTACTACCAAATATACAACCCCTCCTAACATAGAGGTTCCAAATGACTTAACATAGAGGTAATTACTGACATGCCATCAAACAAAGAATAGGACATTTTCAGATGTCAATCAGGACACTATCTCAGACTCTATAAACCTTACAAACAAGAGCAGAATTTGATCTCACTGGCAAACAAATTCAAATATTTCATATTGAACAGGTAGGCTAAATAATAAGCAGTGGTTTTGAGGCTGGTTCATAAAACCTTACAAACATGAGCAGAATTTGATCTCACTGGCAAACAAATTCAAATATTTCCCATTGAACAGGTAGGCTAAATAATAATCAGTGGTTTTAAGGCTGGTTGAAAACATAAAGAGAACATCAACACTACAGAAAAACGAATTAACCCAAGCTAGAAAACAGTATCTTATTTTTAAAATAGTACAATTAATAGTACAACGTTTACTCTAAATTTTGCTTGTATTTATTGTCTTCTCTTAAACCCCTCAAAACACTTCATTATAACTAAAAGGGTTAAAAAAATAATATGCAAAACCTTGGGGAAGAGTTCACTTAAGCCAGAAATGTGTGCAATATTTCAGTTGCACAAAAGCAGGTGTCAGACAAAACCAGTGTCTTGAACTTATAAATATGAATTTAAATTACATAATACATTTCTTATAAATAAATTAATTGAGAACTTTGCAATCTGAAAGGACTGGCCAGTTGTGTAAACTGGATTCCCTTTCTAACCTTCATTGCAGCCAGGGCTTTCATTATCCGTTAGTTCATGACACTCCATAAGGACCATGAAGAACAGTCAAGTCACAAGAATGACTACCAAAGTCGAAAACAATTCACCCGTGTCACACCGTTTAATTTTCAGGATAGCTGCTGAGAATTAATCTTCCAATTAATTCTCCACTAGCTGACAGTGTTACGTTTAAACTGATTGCTGAATCAAGTTTTACATATAAGAACATCTGCAAATGGGCCCAAGAGGTTCTTGTTAAAGATACAGCGCACCCATACTAAATATGTGGTAAAGGGTTTGATGTTCTCTGAGAATGTGTAGTTCTGATGGGGCAGAATGTAAGGCATATATGTGTTCTCTCCCTGCTCCTGGATCCACACCTCATATTTCACCTCTTTGACCTTCAAGTACTTCAGGTTCCAAGGGATCTGCCATGACACCGAGAGCTTTGCTTCATTGGTGGCCTGTACTGACGTCTGACACTTGGGCTCTCTGACTCGACCAGGATGTACAGTGCTAGCCACCTTAACCTTTTTGAGATTGGGCTTTTTTAGAGCTTCTCTGAGTACGTCCAGAAAGGAGGCGATGTCCACAAAAGTGTCCTGGTAAATGCGAAAAAGCCACTCTGGATTACGACAACAAAGATGTCTTGGCACATCCTTGCTGGCAAGGATACGTTCTTGTTCCTCTTTGTCCAAGTGGACGATGCCACCCTGATCCCAGGGGCGATCGGGATATGTAACAGTGTTTTTTTCCATGGTGTTTCGCCATGCGACATACTGAAGGTCCATGCCAGGTAAGGAGGCCAAGGTTTTGTAGGGAGTGTACTGCTCTGGGTTAACAGCATAAGGGTAGAGTTCAACCACAGCGGCGCCACGGGGCAAGAACATGGAGGTGATCATCTGGGCTCCGTGCATGCTGACCAACATAGACGCCCCACTAATTATTTGGATAATGCTATCAAATGACTGCTCCTCCAAAGACACAGTGACAGTCCTCATTTGAAACTCTTGGGCTAACGCAAGAAGAAGTTCCGCCTCATTGAGGATGAGCCTGTTAGTGGTACGTTTAAAAACTACAATGTAGTCATCGACCTCCTCCCGCGTGATGTTAAGCCTCTCCATCAAAAATGAAGCAAACTGGCGGATCTCATTACCCGATATCAGAATGTTGGCTTTGGGTCCTTGCGGTTGAACAAAGCCATATTGGTACCATGTTGTCATCTTTGAAAGTCCTACGTAGGACTTGGTGAAGCACATGAGTTTGCCAAAGGTCTTTAACTGCATCTTGAGTAGTGGTTGCTTGCTGCTGAGCAAACGGTAGAGATCGAAGTGAGCACCTTCACCCCAACCCTCCATGAAGACAAGCCTGGCTTCGTCATCCAAGTCTGAATACTGCTGCATTGTGTAGTAGATTGGCAAAAGATCATCGTGGAAAATGTGCATGAGGTTGTCTGGGTTAAATCGGTTCAGAATCAGAGTGACATCTGGCACAAACACAGGTTTCGGCATGAACTTCAGAGCCGCTGCCGGGAGCTCAAGAAAGTTAAAGTATTGAGTGTTGTGGTCTTCTACAGAAGAGAAGTCCAGCAGGGCAGGCTGGAAACGCCGAGGGCCAAGGTTGGGCAGCATCACAGAGTCATTACTGTGGAAGAATACAAACTCCTCAGCCTCCGAGCAGTAGCAGAGGTAGTCAAAGCGGCAGATGCGATCAGTGTGCATCTTCCCAGTGCAGACCATTCTGGTGCCATGTTCTTGGAGTGCTAACAGGGCACCGTGGTAGTCGATACGCACCTGTGAGAACTCCTGTGATTGGCGTGTGAGCTGAAGCTCCTCTTCCAACTGAGATGTGTGTTCAATCAGGCGAACGTATTTCCAAAGCAAGGCTGCCACCACTGACACCAGCAGGCCATTTAGCACTGCCGGCAGGTTCATCCTACACCCAATAGCACGCATCGCAGCAGAACTCCGACCCCACAATCATGCTCCTCTACCTGCAAAGATCAGAATACCACGAATCAGGAAGTTTGTGAGTAACTAACACCAATATATGTTTAAACAGTCATTAACGGGGAATGAATAACACCACTGTATATATATTTAAAACGGAGGTCTTCAACCCTTCTCCTGGATGTCTGGCAAAGTTTATACCCAACCTGCTTCAGCATGCCTGTCTGTGATTTTCAAGTGATCCTACAGAGCTTCATTACTGGAAGCTAAACACTACAGGAGTTTAGGTCTCCAATCTTAATACATCATAAACAGAGTACAGAATAACCACAGAGGGGGAAAAAGAAGGAGAGTGTAGGGTATGGAGAAAGGGAAGGGTACCATATATTGTGAACTCCAGGGTTATAGAAGACTGTTTCATGTTAGGACTATACTGTATATTTATAGAGAGAGAGTTTTCCATTGTGAATACATTGTGATGTATTTACATATCTCAAGACTCCAAATCATGGCAAAAAATAAGATTTCTACGGCAGGAAGTTTGCATTACTTCAAGAAAGAAAAACCTTGACATAATCTAATCATTTAAGCTGTTGGCATTCTACAGTGGCCAGAAGAGCCATGGAGACCACAGAGTGGCTAAAGATGGCCACCTGCATCCACATTTCCACAGTATTTGGCACCGACATTCATTTTAGTGTGTTCTCAGAGCACCACGTTTGCAACAGGAAACAGGGTATTAACTGTGCCTGCTAGACTGTTTTTAGAAGGAAATCAAAAAAAGAGATGGTTCTTTAGAAAGAAGCAGTCAAACAACATGAGGTGACAGTAACTGTAAAAGTGTTTTGTATCTTTTTCTCATATGATTTAAAGTGCAGTTGTAGTTACTAGGAAATGGTGTTTTTCTCACAAGCTCAACACCTGACTTTTGCCTACAGAACAACCACTGGGTATACTCCCAGTCCCTCCTACCTAAACGTATTACTTCAGACCTACGTGCCATCCAGAAACTTGCGCTCTAGTGAACACCGTATTGTGGTGCCATCTCAAAAGCACCTTTCACACAGGGAAATTGCTGGGAAATTGCCAGAACGCCTTCTGTGTGAATGCAAACACGTCCCGAGATTGATACCAGCATCGATGCCGGGTTGGGGACCTAGTAACATTGCCGGAATCAGTCCTGGAACGCGCGCTGTGTGAACAGAAGCCAGGACCAATGCCGTAAGGGGTGTGTCATAGTGATGACGCTCGTGCCATCGCATCGCGAAAGTTTGTGTTCGTCATCAACAAAGAAAGGACGAACAAATGTCTGCAAACTGGAACGAAGCGGAGATCAGGAGCTCCTCACTATCCGTGCTGAAGCTGAGATCGTTCACACGCTTTGTAGAACGGTGTACATGTTTTCGACGCGTAGTATGTTACACATCTCATCCCGACCTCATGTTTCTTTCCGGGATCTTTACGGGTTATGTGTGAACGCACTCACTGGTCCCGACAAATCCCGGCAAAAAGAATGAACCGAAATCAAACAATCCCGAAACAAATGCCGGGTCAAATTACCCATGTATTTTCCGGAATCTCTGTGTGAAAGGGGCAAAAAGAGGCACAGAATCTCTTTCTCTGACCTTTTTCTGGTTTGTTCCCTTCTGGTCGAATGACCTGCCCAACTCAACCAGGGGTGAGTTTCCCGAAAGCATCGTTAGCCAACTATGGTCGCAAGTTCCGTCGTTACCAACAGACTTCAATGGAAATTGCGACCAACTTGGCTAACGATTCTTTCGGGAAACGCACCCCAGAGCTGCTGAGTCTGTGGCCATTTTCAAGAAATGGCTTAAGAAGCTGTCTTGGTCCATTAATACTAACACTTTAACTTCTATTCTATATATATTATCTTTATATATATAAAAAAAATAAATAAATAAAATGAAAGTACACATACTGCATGAGATTAAACTGGGAAGGATCATAGCACTTGCATCTTGTTGTTCTATTGTTAGTTTAACTTATATTGTTTTCATTTGTAAGTCGCTTTGGATAAAATTGTCTGTTAAATGAATAAATGTAAATATATGAGATAAGAAAATGTTTTCGAAAAGTCAAAGAACCTGCTACTGTAGTCTAAATTAAATAGTGACAGCTCTTCCTATTGTTCACAACAACTGCATCAAATTGAGGGAGACGACATTCTAGCTATGTTAAAAGCTTTATCAGTGCTAAAAATTAGGAGGAGGCTGGCAGAGCTTCTTGCGGTCACATCTTGTGGATGAAAAATGCTAATTTTCAGGATGTGAAGGACAATCTACCTTGTTTGTTTTCATCCACAGTTTTTCATGTTTGGAGAATTAAGCGGTATTAACGTTCAATCCACAAGGATACAAACAGCAGGAATGGCAGTGTCGCCATTTATGCATTTAATTCCCTTCACTGCATAGACAACCCAGAGGGAAACATAAAAAGGCTTCACCAACTAACAAATGCCTGCAAAATGTCAGCTATGCATTGAAACTACTCAGCAAACCCTTAGTGGCTCACATAAGACTTAAATGTCTTTGATGTCTGCTTGGAAATTAGCCATAAACTGAAGAATTAATGGTTATAAACCCCATATTACTTGAGCTCCCCAGGGTGTATTGCCTCAAAATTTCACATGATCTCCTAAAAGGGCAACAATAAGCTTTTACTAATTAATCATTTTCATGATAATAATACTTCATCATCATTCATTCTTGCTATATAATCAAATGAAAGAAAATGTAAAAATCACAAATAATTTAAGACATACCTAAATTTGGCTTATACAAGAGGTGATAATCAAATCAACATTGCACTTCATCTCATACACTATTTATCTGGGGGGAAAAAAATCAAATCAGCAAGGAGGGGTGTAAAAAAAAAGAAGTTTTTAATAAAGTAAGAACTGTCAGAGTCATTTATAATCAAGTCTATTTTGGTTTCAGGTAACATTTACATCCGTTTCAGTGTTCAGTCTTCCTCTCTCTCTTGGGACTTAACACCCACAGCGCTGTTACGCCTACACCATTCTGCCAGTGATTATTTCAAATAACTTCACTCAACTCAATGGCACTGCACCATAATCACGCAAAGAAAGTATAGCCTTGATAAAACGAACCAACAAAATGTTTCAGTAAGAATATGCACCACTCTCATTTTAAAAAAAAGGCAAAATATACTAATATGTTGCTCATTCTGCAATTTCAAAAGTTCTTCAGTCCTGATTGAAAGTACACTGTGCACAACATGCACATTTTCTGTAATGGAATCAGTATTCTGCATGGAATAGACCTTATGTAGCCCCGCCCCTTTTCAGTGCTGCGCTTGTTGTCTTTTGACAGCGATCTTGCATAGGTATGAATGAACCGCTCGTAAAAAAAATTCCCGGTCGACATTTGTTAAGACATCTGCTTTACAATGCTTATGATAAACATAACAAAAGTTATCATGAGCATTGTAAGTTCTACAATAAGTAAATCCACTTCACCAGCTAATTACTCCTTGGCAGCGATGCAATAGAAATATACAGAGCGACCGCAAAAACGCAAGTTCAAAGACAACATTCTAAAGATGACGGCGCCCACGTTTCTCTGGTGCATAAGGTCTATAATGCAATATGTTTGACTTTTGGCTCGTTTCCACTGAGTGGTACGGTACGGTACAGTTCGGTACGCAATTATTTGCGTTTCCACTGTCAAAAGTTGTGAATGGTACCGAAAAGCTGAACCGTACCGTACCACTTTTTGGGTACCCTTCCGTTGGGGTACCTAGCACAGTGAAAGGGTACTAAAAGGTGGAGCTAGACTCACTGCAGAACGGTGATTGGTGGACAGAGTATCGTCACTCGCGCGTGCTACAAGGGCATTAGAAGCATACAGTTGAAATATAATTCTACTGTTATTGTGTCACGAAATGTAGTTTTAAGGCGAGAAAGTAGTTTTGTTTTTTAAAGCTCAAATCTGTGGTTTATTTATAGATTTTTGATAATTTGACTGAGATCCATTCCAAGCGATCACCGGACGCTCGCGCTCGTGTCCCCCGCCTGGAACAGCCTTTCCTCGGCTAGTCGTTCTGATGTTTGCCGCTGACTCTCTCTGTAGTGGTTAAACATGAGATATAGTTCGTCCTGTATAAACCTAACAGGTGATCTTTGGTCTCGTGACGTGGTCTCGTTATATTTAAGCTTTACTGTATATCTTTTTGTACCTTTTACTTTTATAATGGCTATTATTGATAAAACTGAAATTCAACAAAAAGAGATAGTTTTGTCATTATTTTATTTTATTACAAGATCATCTGTAATGTTGTTTATTGCAACATTTGTACCAATGCGATATGCAATACATTACATATTGCCTGGAATATGTTTAATATTTTTAAATTTAAACGAAAAGAGGCAGGGTTGTGTTTTATATTTAGTTTTGTTATAAATATAACGTTACATACATGCAGTGAAGATAATCAATACGTTGCCTGAACCACATTTGTGTGCTTTAGAATGTTTAAAATGTATTGAAATGAAATCGAATAGAAGCAGAGTGGTGTTTTATTGTTGCCTAAAGTGAACATACAGAGATATCCGGAGTCACAGAGCCAGAGCGAGCTGTTCCATTAGCAGAATTACTGGACTCGCGTCCTCATTCTCCTGAGTCGGACTTTGTATATCTACTTGGTATTGAGAAACGCCTAATGCCAGCCATTCATTATTGTTGTTGTTGTTGTTGTTGTTGTTTACTATGTCGTTTCTTCGCGCGAAAATGACGTCGATCGCTTCTTTCCAGCAAACACGCCTATCAAGTAATGGTACTGTTGGTGGTGGAAACGCAAGCCAGATCATGGTGTACCTGACCCGTACTGTACCGTACCGTACCCCTCAGTGGAAACGAGCCATTTTTCTCGAATTTTCAGTCTGACAAAAGAACAAGAAATAAAATCAGCAATGATTTTAATAGCTATCTTACTCCTTATTTGACCAGAGTAACAAATGTTAAAGACATCTTTCACAAGATGTAATTATCAATAACCATATTTTTTTTTAATTGAACTACTCCTTTAACTCCTGTATCCAGATGTTGTCCACATACACATTGAAAAGACAAGTGTAAACGCGCTTCTGATCAGAAACGCATAATTCCTGGTCCGAGGACGTGAACAGCTTTGAGTTGAACATCACGTGTATTCATCTAGAATTTCCAGCAATTATGACATGCACATGGTGTGAACGCAGCTATAATAATAATCATCTTGATATCGTCAAAAGCATCAGCCACCTCTGATATCTCTGAATCTGACTCTATCGGCACAACCCCAGTACCTTTTCTGTTTTACAATGGATTTTAATTATTACAGTGTATACATTTAACTCTGCAAAGTGGTTGATGCTTGTATTAGCAGCATCTAGGCTGTGGATCTGATATGAAGATCACATGCAAGCTCATGTGTATCACATGCTTGACTGCTTGGCCATCATTCAGAACTGGCATATGTTTGATGATGCTATGAGCAAAACTGACACACACACACACACACACACACAGACACACGGAGGATGTTGAAACTCCTTGCATGTAATGCATTGATCAGATTATGGGAGGTTAATTCACGGCTACAATGAAAAAAAATCTAAGCTAAATCCAGACCATTGGCGCATATTAACATGGCAGAGCTCTTATCATGGGGGAAAAGGGGTTTAAAACTGATTTGTTTGGTGAAGCGATATGCAAACAGATTAAAGAGACACAGAGGCGAGTAATATGCTAAAGAGCATAAAGACTTTGGGAGCGCATGGCACTAAGGAGCTGTCCAGATCTAAATCCCTCAGCAAGAGCAGGCAGACCTCACGTCCTTGAAAAGCTGTCCTTTCCATGCATATGAAGAAAGGAAGCAGGGGGTCACATCATGTAAGAGAGTGGTTTTATTTTTCGGGGGAGCCGGGTCCACGTGTTTATGACCGCATGAGAGAGAATGGGATTATGGGCCTGGCTGACAGGGTTTGCCCAGCTCCCTTGTGTACAGCTGGGCTGTTTGCTATGTGGATGATAAGCACCGCAATGATGGGGGAAGGCAGCCTAGTGCTTCTAATGCATTTTAATAAGGCTCCTGGAAAGACACGGCTCTCAGTCTTTCAGTGGCTTTCTTCCCTTCAGGATAGCCAAGGAGATTCCCTACTCGGCTCCCTGCCCATAACAGAAAACGCTCGGGTTAAAGAGACACAATCATTATGCCCCTTCTAGGGATGCTCATTTCGGTTGATTTCCCAACCGACAACCGCAGCTCGTTATCCGAGCATTAACCGTTATTGATAAGATTATAATATTGATTTGGCATTAAATACAAATAAAATTAACGAGTGTCTGTGACCCAAATACAATTTTCACGGACCTGCAGCATTTTTGACAGTGACTACAAAGAAAAACATAAAATAGGCCTTTGTTTACTTAAATAATTCACAAATTAAGAACGCTGAATCCATTTAAACTAAAGCTTTGAAAAAAAAAAGCAATTTTTTCGTTTTCCGTCAGACAGTTTTTTCGTCAAATAAAAATAGCAGGCCTAACCTCAATCCAGACCTTGTCTAGTTTTTATTTAAAAAAAGTAACATGTGCGGTTAGTCTGGAGTGCAGCCTGTTGACAGTAATAGTCGTGGCAGAAAACACCCTCACCGATGACACAGATGTCCCGGGAATACAGAAATAACGTCTCGCATGGAGTGTCCACAGTGGCCAGCTTCGGGAAGCGCCTTTCATTTGCTTATGGATGTTTGCTTCGCAAGTGATATTGCATTGTATTTGTACCTACTTCTGTTTTGTAATACCGAGTAGCATATTTTGCAAGTAATTTCGTCCACCTTTCTGTCGAAATGGTCCAACACTATTTCTTTTCGCTCGCTTCATTTTGCTTGCTCAGCGAAATATGTCTGTAAGCACGTGTGGTTGTGCGAGTCGACGCGCTCCGCGAGTTAACAAATATAGGCTATAAAGTTAACCATGCAGCAAAATAAAAAGTCAAAATTAAAATACTTTTAACTTTTAAACCATTAACTGATAGTTGCTAATAGAATCTGATGATAATCGATCAAAATTTTTACTTTCAGTTAACGGTTTGGTCAATATGCATCCCAGCTTCTTCGTATGTCCTGCAATTTTTTTTGTGACCAACCTTTTTGGCCATTTTGTGCTAATTTATGTGCCGGTTTTGAATTTTGCTGAAGTACTTCAGACGGACTTTGATTTGCAGAGTTTTTTTTTTTTTTTTTTTTTTTTTTTCTCAGCATTTTGCGCCGTAAGTGTTTTGAGTTTAACAATTTCATACAATGCACTTCTCTTTTTGAACCAAAAAAAAAAAAACCTACACTTAGCAAATCATTTTTAAAATGCCTAACTCTTGTAGTACACAGATGTATTGTCTTTTATCTTCTATAAATTAGCATAGGGTGATGAAGCAGGTTCCAGAATTCACCTATTGTTATTACCCTTAAAGGGATACTCCACTTTTTTTTGAAATAGGCTCATTTTACCACTCCCCCAGAGTTAAACAGTTGGGTTTTACCGTTTTCGAATCCATTCAGCCGATTTTCTCATATTTAGAAGAATATGAGTATACAGACAGTTTTTGGTCTCATTGACTTCCATAGTATATTTTTTTTCCTACTATGGAAGTCAATGAGACCAGAAACTGGTTACTGATAACTGATTCAAAAACGGTAAAACTCAACTGTTTAACTCTGGGGGAGTTGTAAAATGGGCCTATTTCCAAAAAAAAAAGTGGAGTATCCCTTTAATAAGCTGCATGCTGATTCATATAGTAAACTAAGCACAGAAAAAGGCAAACGTCTTCAGTGTCCCTCTGTTCCTCAGGGACAGATGAAGAATGGGTCTGAAAGAGCTTTTCAGAGGGGGTTACAGGAAACAGTGTCACTCTGCCTCCTGGGAGAAGGACTCTACGTAACACTGCAGAGCTGGGTTGAGGACAGCTAAATGACAAAACACTGGAGCAGGAAAAAGACAGGGGGCAAATCAAAAAGAGGAAATATACATAAGAATTGAGTTTGGTTATGGAAAGTGAGGCAATATAAATAATAATAATTTGTTACATTTATATAGTGCTTTTCTAGGTACGCAAAGCGCTTTGCATATGGAAAGAGGAATCTCCTCAACCACCACCAATGTGCAGCATCCACCTGGATGATACGACGGCGGCCATATTGCGCCACAACGCCCACCACACACCAGCCTACTCGTGGAGAGGCCAATCAGTATATGAGGATGATTAGGAGGCCATGATGGGCAGAGGGCACTGGGAAAATCTGGCTATATTTTGGCACAGGCTATAGCATTTTTAGAGAATAGGGAACAATCTGAATAGAAAAATACTTTCGCTGATGCTTTTGATGATAACATCAACCCCTAAATGTTGCGGCTGTTAGATTCAATGCAGGCAGTCAATGTCCGTTATCAATTTTAATTTGAAATGCATCTTTCTTTACCGACAGTGTTTTAGGGAGATCAAAAAAGCATTAAATAGCCTAGGCTTATATATTTTCCTGTCTGTTGCCTCATACAGTTCAGCACAAGATAGTTGCTAGTGAACAGATTGAGATGCATGTTCTTGAGCATTGTCATAACTTTATTTCTATTACTAGTCTTGCGTCCTGCACCAACCTAGCAACTGCCATTGAGATGAATGGGAATGTTAGCTAATAGCAAACTCCGTGTATTAGAGACCTGTCAACTAAAAAGAAACATTCATTTGAAGACGGATAAAGTCAAACAGATAACAAAATTTAGTTTCATATAACCCCTGTCTCTGCACCAATATCCTGGTTAGACATTAGAGTTAGGATGTCTCAGATGATTAAGGCAGGTCTATATAGTTTTGAGAGCGACATCTAGCAGGCATTCCTGTCCTTGACGAAAATGAAAGTTGATCCATTGTAACAGTCAGCAAGAAAGCATGTACATCAGGACAAATGCCTTTAAAAAGGTTGGCTTATATATGTCAAATGTTTATAATAGTGGCAGCATCAAATCTGGTGCTGTCCTTCCAGTTGTGCCCTTTGCATCCGGTTTTACTTCTATTCTAATTGCCTGTGCTTTTAAAAGGTCACTCTTTGAAGTTTTCCAGCAATGATGACATGAATGATCAGGTCAAAATAATTTGTATCAAACAGATCTGACTCATTTGAGTACAAGTCAATCATAATTGCAATACAGGGCAGGCACTCTTAAATGATCAAATAAATACATAAATAAATGGGATATGCCCTCTCTCTCTCTCTGCATGCATGTATGTATATACATACATTATATATATATATATATATATATATATATATATATAGACACACACACAATACTGTGAAACACAACAGGTAGCAGTTTATTACAGCTATTGGTCTTATGCGATGCTTTATATATAATATAGATATACAAGTCTAGTCTAGAAATTATGTCGCGAGTTGTGATTGGAAATATAGAATAGAAATCGTGCGGATGATCGATCGGTAATAAAAGAGAATAAGCATACCTTTTCATGACGACAGCTGGTTGGGAAGAAAAAAAAACTTTTGTTGCAATAAGTTTTCCAAAACAGACAGACAATAATACATAACAAACCATATGGAAAAGCAAATGCATATCATACCTGTGGGAAAGGTGAGCCAGGACGAAGTGATGTGAATTCACTGCGGATACACTGTTTCAGCAGCAGCTCCAGCAAACCAGCGCCAATGATCATTTACAACTTTACAACGGACAAACGCATCTTTGTAGGGGTAATTGTGTTAAATACGAGATGTGTTCATTCACCACAGCGACTAACTGACGGCTTATCGGCAATTGTATCGCTACGTTGCACAAAATCGACTCTGTCGCGCGTATTCTGCGAGCATTTACAGCTGCTGGCGAAGTCTCCACCCACAGCTATGACCGAGCTCAGAAGAGAAAACCTCGCGAGATCTTATCGCCTCTAATCAGTCTGACGTTTGTATTCGTGTGTTATCGCGAGAGCATCGCAGCACAATTGAAAGTCCCATATGAGAAGCACAATGAAAGTAGGCTACATATCATCTCCTAGTTAATTTAATTTATTTAAAATAATGTTTTTTAAATATTAAATGGTAAATTGGGGGGAAAAAAAACTCGGTATAAGGCTGACACGCTGCCCCTACCAATGTAATTAGGCTACCTATATATTTAATTATTTATTTACTAGTTAAATAACTTAAGAATATTGCCTTGTGGCATACTTATACATATTATACTTATTCACTTAATGTATGTATTAAAGTTCAAACTTTCAACTCAACATTCAACTCGACATTCAACTCGTTTATTTGAGAAACTGTTGGTGACTTTGGAGATCTCTGGAAGGTGTTTTAATAGTATATGATTGAGTGAATACTATTCAGAATCTTGGGTGTCACTGTAATTTTAAAAGTTTACTTTAGCAAACCTTCTAAAAGTAATAAGCTAATATATAATGACACGGGGATTGTATTATGGAGGCTAGCCTACATCTTTGTCATGAACGCAGATAACATGACCTGACCAGGCTACAGAACTTTTTTATTGACTTACAATTTGCCTAACTGAGAAATTGTCCATGCCATGATTGAGTCTCGTGTTTTGAAAACGATTCTCTTTTAAAGGTGATATGAATTGTCAGTTCTTGTTGATTCTAAGCGGTAATACGGCGCCCTCTAGAGCCAATTTTGAGGTACAGCAACAATTCATAAAAATGCGTTCATAGAAGATTAGCAAACTAGCAAAATTTTATATTTTAATCACTAAAGTGACCAGTGCCTGCGTGTCTCATAATATTCTTAATAATTGTAATTTATTCTGTGGTAAATTGTTAATGCAGAGCTCTTTAAATACAAAGAGTACCACTAATTGACCAGTAGATGGCAGACGATAGCTTTAAAAAGCCATTTGTGCTTTTCAGTTCCTTACTACAGTATGTGGAATGCGAAAATAAATGCTGAATTTAATATTCATTGTTGAGGCAGTGTGTAGTTGGCTATTGTATAACGAAACTTCTTTTCAAGAAACAAATGGTAATTGCATTGCTCATGCTCTCTGCAGTCATGTATTTGGCCTGCATCTCTCTCCAGTGAACTGCAGCTTTATTACATCTTTTATAAGAGCCATTGCAAACTCTTGTCTCCTGGGTCAAGAACCAGGATATTATGGCTTCTACAAGTATAATCAGTATCCTATAACTCTATTAAATGTGTCACATTGCTGATTGCTATAGCATTTTATGGTATCATGTATTACAACAATGATTCCATATGTACCCGTTTACTTGAATTGATGTGTTCCTTACGCTAAAATAAGATGTTATCTCAAATAGGCATATTATAACACATTTTCATTCTGTGAAAGCAGTGTGAGGCAGGTGCGGTGCACTATATAGGTCTAGAAACAAATATAAAAACTGACAAATCCATAACCCTGTGCATTTGGCCGCGATTTAAGGCATGGTTTTATAATCCACTATGTTTTGAAAGCATGGAAAAATATGCCGTGAACAAATAACTTTCGAATGGCCCATACAAAATCGATTTAAGAATATTAATTTAAATTTAAAAAATGCAAAACCCACCACAATATAAACGCGTCCAGTGACGTACAGGAATGATATTGTTTTAATATTAGAACTGCATTTAAAACCTAGAAAAGACGGGACGTTTCAAATGAATTACTATTATTTCCGCACTGTTAAAGTTACCTCTGATTGGTCAAACCTGTCACGTGATATGAAAACGAACCTAATCTCTTAAAACAAGTCTTGTTAATAAATGTAGCTAATTGTATTGCATATATATTTTACGACGTATATGTGTTTACTTAATATTCTTCCGTCGAACATGTACTGATGTAGGCATATGATGTTTCAGGGTTTTTTTTTTTTCTTTCAGTGAAGGAGGACTGATGCTGGTGAAGAAAGTCATAATGCTGGACTTGATTAACATGAGGTTCGGTGTGTAAGGTTAGGCTATGATGACAGGATTTTCAACAGAAATTCTGATCACACTTTATATTAGGTGGCATTGACTAGGTAGTAACATTAAATAGACATACTAACCACAAGACCCTGCATTTATGCATACTGTGTTACTGCTATTCTGGAAAATTCCCACATTTAAAGGGTTAGTTCACCCAAAAATGAAAATTAAGTCATTAATTACTCACCCCCATGCTGTACCAACCCCGTAAGACCTTCGTTCGTCTTCGGAACACAAATGAAGATATTTTTGATTAAATTGAGAGCTGTATAACTACCACATTGGCTCCTAAGGGACTGCCTCTTGACGGCCCAGAAAGTCAATGAAGAAAATGTTTAAATATCCCAAGTGACTACCGTGGCTCAACTATATGTTTATCAAGCGACGTGAATACTTTTTGTGCGAAAAAACAAACAAAAATAACGAGTTTATTCGACTATTTCTTTTCTTCCTTGTAGGCCAGAAACGAGATTTCCTTAGATTTCCACGACGCATGCGCGAGAATTGCAACATTTTCTTCATTGACTTTCTGGGCCGTCAAGAGGCAGTCCCTTAGGAGCCAATGTGGTAGTTATACAGCTCTCAAATTTAATCAAAAATATCTTCATTTGTGTTCCGAAGACGAACGAAGGTCTTACGGGGTTGGTACAGCATGGGGGTGAGTAATTAATGACTTAATTTTCATTTTTGGGTGAACTAACCCTTTAATGAGTTGAACATTGAGAAACAAAATCTAAAGTTAATGATATAAGGGTCAAGAGCCCAACTAAAGCAAACACGGATCTCCATAATGGTGACTTAAAAATGACGGTTTTCTCCTTCAGTGATTCTGCTTGTTAACATCAGGTGTCTTCATTAATGCTCAATCAACAACCAAACCAAGACGTTAGTTTATGCAACAAGGCAGAATCTTGTTGAATTGAAGTGCTTTACTGACATTGAGTGGATAAGAATAAATTTGATTAGACTAACACAATACAAACATTTTGATTCAATTAGTTGTGAAGAAGTTACATTAACATATTACAATCATGTTGAATCTACAAATGTATATTGTGTTCAAAATATTCAAAGTAGTTTAAGTTTACTTGATTTGATTAGATGCATGATGGGTGCTACGTTTAAATCACGTTCATTCAACAATTTCTTTTTTTGAGTGTAGAGAGTCCATTAAAGCAACAGGACAAAATATTTTAACGTTTTTGAGGAATTAGGTGATTCAGATTTGTCTTGGCACAGCTACTAGAAGATTTTTCAACTGTCAGACTGTCGTCACGCTCAGTCGTCATGCTGCGTAACACGGGAATGAACCTCATTGGTTCTTGCTGAAGCTCAAACGTGCTGCGTAACATGCGAATGAACCTCATTGGTTCTCGCTGAAGCTCAAACGTGCTGCGTAACACGAGAATGAACCTCATTGGTTCTCGCTGAAGCTCAAACTTACTGTGTAACATGAAAATGAATCTCATTAGCTCTTTTCAAGGGGTTGACAAAAGTGCTGAAAGAACCCCCTTTAGCACTGACAAAAAATAAACCACTTCTGCTGAACTTGTTGACTATCATCATGGTTGATTTTCATAACAATTTCTTCAACAAACAATGGCCTTTGACTCTAGAAACAACATGGCCAGGCGGTGTGAATTGGGGTAACCAGTATTTTTCATAAAAATATACAATTATATACAGTAAATTTAATGTGGAATAAAATTGTATAATCCAGTTTAGTGAAATAACATGGTTTTCAACAATTTTTACATTAATTGTCAAATTTTATTTAGAAAACAGAGGTGTTTTCAGCATACTGTATGTCCTGCCAAATATTGCAAAAAATAAATAAATAAATAAAAATAAATAAATAAAAAATTAAAGATTCCATTTAGAGATAACTCTAATACAATCTTTGTTTGTGTGATATATTAAAATTAAGTATTTATTTATATATGTACACTCACATGCCATCTTGTTGGATAGAATGTTTAATAATTCCCATTCTTTGGCAGTTACACCGTTTGACACATTCAGTCTTAATTGTCTTAAAAAATGTTGCAAATGTAATTTTTAATTACATAAATCAACATAAATGCACTACATTTTAACATACCTGGTGCATGCTTTTAAAACAAGTTTTTATAAGATTTTCGAATTTTTCATCGTATTTGTCTATTTCTAAATTCTGACTTTATAATTCAGAATTGCTAGATGTAAACTTGCAAAAATTGTGACGCAATTGTCTTATTTATAAAATAATAATATTTATGTATTATTATTTATATTATGAGGGATGGTTAGGTTTAGGAGTTAAGGTATTGAGTTAGGTTATGGGTTACAGTTTACAGTGTAACAAGTTACAACAAATGTTAATTAAATTTATTAAAAGTAATTAAAACTATTTTAGGTGTAGTTACATATAGGGTGCATATTTAATGATTATATTGTATAAAATGGTTAGTACATTAGCCAAGGCCACATAAATTGTGACCGGAATTCTAATTTATCTAATAAATGACATCTAATATATTTTTAATGTCTGTGTTCTTTGCATATATCCGCGACTGTAGGCTATATCTTGAAAACCATATAGGAACATATTTTGCATATGTTGTCATTTGTCAGGTGTCTAGCCTACAAATGTTTCCCTTAACTTCAATGATCCAATAAGTAGATTCTGAACTGGTCTTTGTCTGACTGGCTTAGAAAAGCCAATTAAATATATAAAATAAGCAATAATGGCACATTTCAATTAGTTTAGCACACAGCAATGTACGAACACTATTTGCATATATACATAATAACCCAACAATGCAAGTGCAATGTAAACTCTGCCCAGGCACATTAGCATCAAACCATGAAAAAGCTTTAAAAAAGGAGCTGTTTGCAGTTGTGCCTCCCTGACTTATCTCAACAGCTTTAAGACTACAT